ACAAGTATTTCTGTCAATCAACTCTAATTTTGTCTCTTGCAAAGTAACAAATTCAACTTTTTCTTTAACTATGAGTTCCCTTATTTCTCTTCGCTTACCCCCACCACCCAACCCTCTTATATTCCATGAAAGCAAAATCATTTTGAATTCGGGAGACTTACCCTTTCTCCTCCAGTTGTAGCCTCTGTTGCTTTATCTTTGGCTTCCTTGTCTCTGGCTTCCTTATCTCTGGCTTCTAGTTCATTGATCTTTCGAATTAGTTCCTCCTCGCTTCCACTTGTTGTTGCCCCTATCTTCTTGGCAAAATCCCAAATTCTCTCACCATCTCTTTCTTGTTTTTTTTCTTGTATTCCTCTGTGGCAGTTTCTGATGTCACTGTCATCAATAGATTCGCCAGCCACATGTACTTCAGCACATGGGAGAAAAGTTGGTATGGAATGTCCACTGCTTGGTCGTCCCCTTCTCTTCATTTTGTCTTTTGAAATATGTACAGCTCTGGAGTTTTGGTAGACCTCAGTACATGATCGAGCTTTCTTCCTCCTTTTTCTGGTAGTTTTTAGGGTCCTACCGTCATGAAGGCGCATCCATTCTTTGATTTCACCGGAATCGCTGTCCATATCTTCCTAGAAGCGTCTCTTTGAATTGTTTGTTGCATTCTTTTCACATACAAGCTTTCGGTGAATGCTGGTTACATTTTCCTCTAGTTCAATCTCCATATTCCTTCCTTTTGACGGGCTTTGTGTTTTCTTATCCATATTAGGATTGGGCTTAGAGGACTCGCCCTTGAGGTCCAATTCCAAGTTCCTTCCAGAACATGTGGTGGGCCATGATTTGGCGTTGCTCTGTGCACTACTTTCTGCTAATGTCATCTGCTATTCATTGCTATTCCTAACCTTCTTTGATAAATCTTGAACCAAGGCAATCTCAAGAGGCCCCACTGCAACTCTCACATCATTACCGGCATTAGGAAGACTTTCAAAATCTGCACAGTTGGTAGACTCAACATCTTCTAATGCTCTCCTTGCCTCCATGTCCTCATTTTTTTGAATGAAAGCAACCTGTTGAGGGTCCACTGCATCTCTCTCACCAATTTCAACAGGGATTTCAAAATCTTTGCAATTAATGAGCTCGTCAACCTCCATTTTGTTCCTTGTCTCAACGTCTTCATTTTTTTCAAAATTGGGCATGTTTCCCAAGATGAGGTCGATCTATTCGCCGCCTGAGATATCTGTTGAGGGGTCACTGCAAATTGACCAAGAAACCATATCATCATCATCTGAGTTGTTGTTGGAGAAGATGATATGATCTGTTTTCATAGAAAATAATCCATTAGAGGCTTCTTCTTCCTTGATCACAATGTTAAAGAATTGTCCATTGACCTTAATCATAATGGATTTGGAGATAAAATCCTTCGAGGACGTTGAGATTAAAACTCTAGCAGTGTCAAACTTGAGTTTCCTACTTGTGCTATCATCTAGTGATATAAATTTTCCCCAGAAGCTCAAGATGGTTTCAAAGAATTTTGGCCCCCAAACATTCAAAGGAACTCTAAAGCATTTAACCTATACCATCCTCTCGCTTGCGACTAATGAAGGAGAATATGGTTTGATCTCGTCAAACCACTGGCCAAGCCAATCTGCTGCATCTCCACCAGATCTTTCAACTCTTCCTTATCCTCACTACTTAGCAACATAAGCCTTCCTCCCATGGGTTTGACAGTGCAAGCAAAGTACCCCTCCATATAGAGCTTTTCCTGCATGGTTGGGATTAACTCAATTGACCTAGTTGTTCCCACGTAGCAGCCATCCAGCCATGCAGTATCCTCTTTATTAACAGTGAACTCTAGTCCAGTCCATTGCTTTTCTGCCGTTCTCTGTTGCCAAGTGGACCTGTGTGGTTTAGCAGGTAGAACTTTTCTCCTTGTGCCTTTGAGTACATCAGCGTAACTTCTTAGCATGTTCGGAGTGAGTTGTTTGCTTTGCGCCTTCTCTCTCTGAAAGTCACTGTCCCTTTTGCTGTATTTTGGGATATTGACTTGGAGTTTGGTGTTGCCAATCCAGATCTAATCAAGTTTCCTCACAAGTTCTCCTTCATCCTTGACTTCAAGGAATCTAACAAAGCCAAACCATTTCCCTGTTCTGTCTCTGCGATTTGGAGCATATATAGCATACACTCTATCGAACTTGTGGAATGTATTCCACATCTCTTCATACCTCCAGTTGTCAGGAAAATTTGTGAAGTAGAACGGCGCGGCTTGTTTCAAAAGATTCAAGTCATAACCTCCAAAATTCTGTCTCCAAGCCCCTCTGCTGATCCTTGACCCCTCCCGCTGGTGTTGTTGATCTTGAAGCCCTCGGTCCTGCCATCGGTGAGATCCATACCCCAAGCTCTGTGCCGTCCGTCGGGCTGACCTTTTTCTCTTCCTGCTTTGCATGCTTCGTTTTTATTGAAAAAAAAAAAATGAATGATGAAAAAAAAATGATTATTAGTTAGGCCTAATTTTTTTTTTTGAACAATATTGTCATGGAGTGGGTTTGAATCTGCTTATAAAAAGAGGGGGATGCACTTCAAGATGGTCAAAAACTAGTTGATCCAAAAAATCAAGTGTTGTTAGGTCCAATTTTTTTAGTAGTAAATTTTATAACAAATTTCATGTAGTTA